GAAAACTTTATTTTTTTCCAAATCAAACATTTTTAACAAAATCAAGATATTCTTCAAAACATAAGCTTAGTATGTGTTTGTTATAACTTATAAAATAATAGTGTCTATTCAAGTATGAAGATAGTGCAGGACAAGAGGGCACCCCTTTACTTTTAAAAAATGTCAAATGTGGTATATACATTTTTGTTTTTACAAATTTTGTTTTTAAAGTTTTAATTATACGGACCATTCAAACGTAAAGAATACATTTAGGACTTGAGTAATGGGATCACTTCTCTCTTTGTGATTAATTGTTATAAAGAGATGATAATTTTGTCTAGGTAAGAACAAATTTAAAAAATCAAGAATTAGTTATATTGATGTAACTTATGTAAGTTTTTATATTGATTATATATAATTTTTTGTATAATTTATAAATTAGCAAGATATGTTTTTACATTGGTTAAACATAGTCAAGATAATTTTTTTTTGAATTAGAACTCAAACTCTATGCAATTATAACTAATATATATTATTTTTTATATATAAAGTTTGGAATGACGACTTTTCAAGTTATTACATTTTACCTAACATGTAGTTAAAGATGTCATACTATATCGATTGTAACATTTTTTCCCTGTTGATGGTTGATTGTTTGTATTGTAAAATAAATGTTACTACGTAGGGACAATGCCAATATTGGATGTTGGGGGTACCATTGTAGGACAAGTGGGGCCATTGTTGCCCCCAAACTTTTGAAAAATGTCAAATATAGAACATATATATGTAGGATTTGAGTAAAGGAATCATTTCTCTATTTGTGAATGATATTTATAAAGACATGATAATTTTACCTAGGTAAAAACAAATTAAAAAAAATGTTGTCAAAAACTAGTTATATTGATATAACTTATATAAGTTTTTACTTTAGTTATACATGCATTGTTTTATACAATTTATATTATCATTATACGTTTCTTCATTGGTTAAATGTTGTCATAATAATTTTTTGAATTAGAACTCTACGAAATTGGGATTTATATATACTATTCTATATATAAAATTTGGAACAATGACTTTTTAAGTTGATATATTTTTCTTAGTGTGTAAGTAGTGATATCATGTTTATATCGATTGTGACATTCTTTTTCTATTGACACATTGATTGTGTGTTATAAAATATAGGAAGATATTTAAGATAGAAGTCAGTGTACGATGAGAGATTGATTCTATAATTTTTTTTTCCCAATAGATGGATAGATTGTGTACACTATAAAATAAAGATAGTTATTTAAAGATGAAGCTAGGTCTGTACAAGAGGGTGATTGTGATATTTTTTATGTTGATGATGGATTATGTATGTTATAGAAAAAAGGTAGTTATTCAAAGATGAAATCAATGGAGGACAAGGGAGTGTACCAAATATATATATATATTATAAATTTTTGCTTTTGAAGTTTGTTTTTGATGTTTGAATTATAGGACCATTCAAATATTAAAAAAGAAGAAGAAAAAGTTATTTAAGATTTGATTAAATGGATCATTTTTTTATTATTAGCTAATTCTTATAATGATATGATAATTTTATCTTGGTAAGATCAAATTTGAAACAAAAAAAAAAAAAAAAAAGGAATTGTCAAGAACTAGTTATATTGATGTAATTTATATAAGTTTTTATATTAGTTATATATAACTATTTTTGTACAATTTAAAAAATTGTGATAATAAATTTTTACATTAGTTAAATTCTAGTCATGATAATTTTTTTTTTTTGAATTAAAACTTAAAAGGGTGTGACTAATATACATTATTCTATGTATATAATGCTTTAAACAGTGACTTTTCAGGTTGCACTATTTTTGTACAATTTAAAAAATTGTGATAATAAATTTTTACATTAGTTAAATTCTAGTCACGATAATTTTTTTTTTTGAATTAAAACTTAAAAGGTTGTGACTAATATACATTATTCTATGTATATAATGCTTTAAA